CAGGTTGACCATCACTTTGTGTGTTCGTTTCAGGACCCTTTGCGCTCGCCAACAGCCATTCACCAGCACTGCTCCATTTTTTCTGCTTCAGAGTTGCTCGTCGTCGCCTTCAGCCGGACTCGATCCGTCTCACCTTGTGTCTGCCTCCAGAGTGACTTCACCGAGTATGCGGTCCCTTAAACCACTCGGCTATTTAAGTTATTGATGATACAAGTTATTTTTATTCCTATATTGTATTAATATTGAATTTTAATAAAGAATATGTATCACACACATCTCTCTTATTCATCACCCTTGTCTACCCTTCTCTTTTCCCAGTTCCTCCTCTACCTTCGTCATCTCTCTCTTTATGTATTTCTATTACAGTCAAGTGCGAAACTTGAGTTTTCAGAAATATTCTAAGTGTCAAGGTCGAAATGCGCCCTCTACAATTTAATTTTTGAACTAATTATTTGAAGATTCCGAAAAACTAGGACTCGAATTTTTCACCCGAGTCTTTGGGATTCGATCCAAGGCACCTTTAGCCAGTCAACGTGATGTCGACGACTAAACGCTCTCGGCTATCCGATTATTAAGAAACTTATATTTTTTTGGAAACGCTTTTGTCTAATTCAGGAAGGACTATTGAAGGTTGACAGCTCCAAGTGTTTTGCGAAGACCTTTGCATCAGGCGCTCCACTATAGCTATTTAAATTTAATCAATCCGCCATCTGAATTTATTTCTTTGAACTAACATTTGATCGTTTTGAAAAACTTTACATCAGTTATTTTTCATCTACATAGATTTACTTCTTGTGGGATCGATCCGAAGAACATCCAACTACCACAACGACCACTTACGCTCTTGGCTATTTAGTCGTTTGATAATAACTATTTTTAATGAGAATGCATTTTTTCTATTTCGAGGATTTAAAGATTTTTGAAAATTGAATATCGTTATTACGTCTCGAACTTGCACTGTTCTATACATTCTAATGCAACTAGATTTTATCTGTTATTTGAAGATTCGAACTACAGCACCGTTGGGCTGGATAACCGCTGTTGCTACTTAACGACCTTGGCTATTCATTTCTTAAGCGAAAAAAATTTAATGAGAAAGTCTTTTGTCTAGTTTGAGGTACTGAACTTTATGAAAAATAATTATTATTCTCTTCAATTCTCATTCAGAAGATTCGAACTGCAGAGTGCATCATCTAACAAATGCTACTAAACGGCCTTGTCCATGCAGTCGTTACACAAAACATGCGTTTGAGTTCTCATAACGACTTCTATTTTGTCTTTAATATCTTATTAATTATCCATCCAACCACAACTCATCGTTTATTTTCTTACAGCTGCATTCAAGTACACTGAAGGACGCACGATCTGCTCTGGACAACTGCATTGAGATCACATCATCAGGATTGGGATTCGAACTGGTTGACCCTGGACTTCTGAACTGGTGAAATAAGTGAAGTCCTTTAGCCGTTTCGGCTACCGAGATGCAAAATGGCCGTCGACTATATGAGAGGACACTGAGAATGGATTTCTGGCAAATGTGGGGGTGAAAAAATACTGGAAATTGAAAAAGTTGCCGGAGGGGTTGCAGAATGATGGCATACAATTCTTTAGGGTTGTACGGATTTCAAGCGGGGGGTTTCAGGGGGGAGAATTTTGTCCGTTTTTTGCTCAGAACACCCCAAAATGATGATTTAAAAATTTCACGTGTATTTGGGGTTGTTCAAACTCTAATGTTTTCTTTTATAATAATTAGAAATAAAATTACATATACAATTAGCAATTATTGAACAAATAGTTTATGAATATAATAATTAAATTGTCAAAATTGATTTTCATGCAATATATAATTGAACTGAGTATGTTTAAACTTATAAAAACTGGACCTAAAATTATTATTATTGTTGTAATATGTATTGAATATATATTTGCTTAATATTGTGTAAACTATGTTATGTTGATTTAAATAAATATATAAATTAAAATGCATAAATTTCTTTTATATATATTTTGTATATTTAATAAAATTTGCTATATGGTTTAATTTGTATTTTATAAAGACTTAAAAACAGTCTATGTATATTTATTTTTTTCGGTATTGTCTATTTTTCAATGTATTTATTAAGCAGTGTATGAACTCCCTAATAAAATTGATACAGTCACCACAAAATTGTTAAGGAGTTGTCCGCGCTCGCAATTATTTCTCAATATACTGATATATAACTGGCGATGGACTCCCTAAACTACACATGCATTCTTGAAATCACCACTACATATGTATTCGATGCACCCACACATGCACAACGCGTATATCTCGTTCCCAACCTGGTCCACATTTATATATCGTCTATACAAATTTATAATAGATTTATATATATACATGTCGACGTTCCATATAATTATATATCGTGTATATATGGAGTGTATAGGGTTGCATATACAGCCAGACGTTTATAAACGACGAACTCGCGCGCTATAAGAATCTTATAGGAATTTATATATCGCACATATAATTCAAATTATAGAGGTGTATATGTATATGAGAAGTGTATATAAAAATTCGTAGATATCTATCCATGGATTTGTTTTCAATGTTTTATTAGATATTCTAACGCTTTTGCCATATCTGTTCCAAATTTAATAATTAATCAATTAAAATGGTCAAATTAATCATTATTTGTCAACAATAAAATCCTACTAACTACTTTATACACCCATATATTTATTAGGCCATGCATGGACTCCCTAATAAATTGGTACAGTCACCTCAAAATTGACAAGGAGTCGTCCGTGCTCGCAATTATCTCTCAATATACCGATATATAACTGGCGATGGACTCCCTAAACTACACACGTATTCATGATTTCACCACTACATACATATTCAATGCATTCATACATATATATATATATATATATGTATATATATTGTGTATATATGACGTATAACAGGTTGCATATACTGTTAGGGGTTTGAAAACAAATTTCTTATAATTAGAGGTGTGCCATGGAAGTCTTATAGGAATTTGTTATAATTATTATATATATATATATATATATATATATATGTATATATAATTAATTATATTAATAATTTTATATATATAATTAATAATCATAATTAATTATTAATCAAAACATACCTTTCAATTTTATATTTTAAATCATTTAATTTAAAAATACTGCTCACTGAAAATAAACATATATATATATATATATATATATATATATATATATATATAAATTAATAATTAATAGATAATAAAACAAATCAGTAATTTTAGACGTTCACTTATATTCTATTTTTCAAAATATACATATCTTTTCATCATCTTTATAATATCTATATATATAGTGGGCCATTTTTCAATATACATTTAATAACTATTCAATTTTCATAAACAATTATACATCGCTTTATAAATTTGGCAAAAAGGACATCATTTTCAAATCGAGTACAACGTGTTTAGAAAATCCATGGATAGCAGTCCACGAATTTGACTTTATACATTATATAAAGTGATATATAATTATTTATTTATACATATACATTGAATTATAACATTTTTGTTTAAATAATTGGTGTGTTGAATTAGGCTTTACATTTATTTATAAAGTGGGCGGATTTTCATCTAATTATCATTTAAAGGGATTACAATTTTTTATATAATATCGAAAACTCTCTTTTAACAATTCAGAAAGTTATACTTGATAGTGAAATCATTACATATATATATATATATATATATATATATATATATATATATATATATGTATATATATAATGATCCACTATCCAGCATTGTTATATATATATAAATATATTAGTTTCTTTTCTTAATATTTAATACAGTATACATTTAATATCTAAATTCTGGTGTTGGTACATTCAATTGCGATATAGTTTTTTTATTTGAGTTAACAATTAATAATTTCATCTCCTATTGGTTTATATATGTATATAAACATTTTCTTTAATTTATTGACTAATACTTTTTTAAAAAAATAATAGACTTGGGTAAAGGAATCAATAGATAAATAATTGTTTATATATATATATATATATATATATATATATATATATAAACAATTATTTAATTAACTCTAACTCTAAATTCATATTCACAAATTTCATTTTTTGAGACTAACAATAATTTGGTTCAAATTCTTGTCTGTCAGATATATATATATATATATATATATATATATATTTATTTATATATATATATATATATATATATATATATATATATATATATATATGGCTATAATATAATACCTGTTTCTTACTAAATCTAAATCGATAAGATAAGGAGATCATATCGTATCATATGTTTTGTCATGGTCTTGACTCATAAGTATTGATAATATATAATTTATTTTAATATCATTGAATATTAAAAAGTTTTAAATTAGTTCGAAAGAATAAAAACAGACTTAAGACAAATTCCTGTGTGTTCCCTATTGGTGATATACAATTTCTTATATATAAAATTGGTAATTGATATATATATATATATATATATATATATATATATATATATTACTAACACAAACTCTTAAATCTCTCTTACAACTATTTATCTATATATATATATATATATATATATATATATATTTTCTCAATATATTATTTTTATCATCTACACAATAAATGCACATACATTGGAGTTTTGTGTTCACTATTTATATTTATATATATTTTGATATTTAGAGCTACAGAGATATGTCGGTTTACTTTCAGGGACAAACATTTCATTAAAGTAAACGATTCAAAAACACTGTGCTCGATTCTAAAGTACACACTCATATGGTGCCATGATAATAAAATATCATTACAAAGACATTTATATATATGTACAAATATTTATATAAATATAAAGCTGCTTTTACCATCGCAGAGAAATTCTTTTCAACTTGATAACTAGAAAATATACAATTTGGTAAATGATATATGTGTATGTATATCATTCTTATATATATATATATTTATCTAAATTAAATTAAACAACATCTTTATGTCTAGTGGAGTGTTCAATGGCAGCCAATGTGTCTTTTCTGTGTCGGACGTACAGACGTCCCTTCATCCAAGGATCTTGCAACTGCAACGGCCTGAAAAATAATAATATTCATTATTATTTATTAATATATACATAAAATAAGTACAAGTGGTGTTTTGCCTTAAAACACAAATAAATCCCTAAGAATTTAAATTTAGCTACGTTTAAAATTGTGACTATAAAATAAATAAACATTTGAAAAAGACATAATCATGAAGTCAGTATACAATGGCATCAGAAAAAGAGAAATAATAATTCTTGTGCCTTGCTCTGCTGCTCTACATATATACTTTTTATTAAATTTACTTTAATTTATCGAATGTTACTTGAAACTTTTCAAAAAGCAAGTCAAAGAAGGAACACTTAATTCTTTTTCTATCTCTCCTCGCAGAAATTTGATATTTTCTATAAGCTCAGTAGTATTATTTACAATTATACACAAAATCCAGAATCCAAAAAGAATCTGAAAAACTTGAAACGTAATCAATAAGTCGAAAGACCAAAAGAGACTTGGATTGGATGGAAAGTGTATAAAACTTCTAGTTTGATTGTATTGACAAAAATATATACCAACTAATGGGAGTTTATAATACCTCATTGTATATAGCATTTAAACAACACACATCCTTATACAACATCTATACAATCACACATCTATATATATATTCTTGAATTTGATGTTGATATATATGTTTAATATGAGTTTAATATTCGGGCGTAACATCAATAAAAATAGTATGAGAGTTTTTTTAGAAAGTTTATTTATTTAAAATCCATACGTTTCGACTAGCATCTTAGCCATCATTCAGTGGTAATCAAATTAACTTATTAATTAAATCCATGGTATGAGTATGTGCACATTGATAAGATGCACATACTCATACCATGGATTAATAATGGTTTCATATGCTACATTAGGATACAAAATTGTAAGTGTTTTATTATTATTATTGTTTTTCCATGAAATTTTCTTGCATATAATTTATTTAGTTTTAATTTTTACAGTTAATTTGATTACCACTGAATGATGGCTAAGATGCTAGCCGAAACGTATGGATTTTAAATAAATAAACTTTAAAAAAAAACTCTCATACTATTTTTATTGATGTTACGCCCGAATATTAAACTCAAATTAAATATATATATATATATATATATATATATATATATATATTGTATGATTCTGAATTTGATGTTGACATATGTATTAACAAAGTCTAATAATCGGGCATAACATCAATAAAAAACAATATTTTTTATTGATGTTATGCCCGATTATTAGACTTTGTTAATATATATATATATATAATATATATATATATATATATATATATATACCTAAGTCTGTTTTTACACGGTCTTTTTGTACACGGTTTTGATATAACACGGTTTGAAAATTGAATATTTTTAATTTTTTTACACGATTTTATTCCATTTAGCACGATTTGAAATTTTATGTACTTCAATTTTTTTTGTCAAATTTAATTTTTGCGAAGTATGTTCATATCACAAAAAAGTATTTATGAAAGAAAAAAGTCTGAAATCAATCAATTACCTTAAAAATTGAATAACCTATTCTTTTCGTTCACTACACAGTTTTTTAGTTCCTGAACTTGCCATACATTTAATTTATATTACTTTTAAGATTAGAGTGCATATCTTTTTTATCATTAATTGCTATGCTTGTGAAAATAAGCATTATATATTTGATTTAATAAAATAAACATGAATTCTTGTTCTTAAAAATTCTTGTTTTTCACTAATTTTAATAGGTTTTAGAGATTAGGAACAAATCACCCATTTTTGTATAAGATCAATGTCCTTTTTTACACGGTTTTTTTTACACGGCTTCTTCTGGAACCAATCTACCGTGTAAAAACAGACTTAGGTGTGTATATATATATATATATATATATATGAGTGAGTTCTTGAGGGCGATACATCAAACAAAGAAAAGCCAAAGATTTATAAAATAATCTTTATTTCCAAACGTTTCGACATTCAATTTAATGTCATCATCAGTGGATATTACGTTGGTTGGTTACATATAGAGAAGTGTACACAGCACTAGAGATTGGCACTGACATTTATACAACTAACTTGTCAGCACTATGCATTTTTTATATAATTTTTTTTTTTTTGTATGATGTAAACAGAAAAATGATAGTTTTATTGAACAATAATGGAAGTAGATTCTACTTACATTATTGTTCAATAAAACTATCATTTTTCTGTTTACATCATGCAAAAAAATTATATAAAAAATGCATAGTGCTGACAAGTTAGTTGTATAAATGTTAGTGCCAATCTCTAGTGCTGTGTACACTTCTCTATATGTAACCAACCAACGTAATATCCACTGATGATGACATTAAATTGAATGTCGAAACGTTTGGAAATAAAGATTATTTTATAAATCTTTGGCTTTTCTTTGTTTGATGTATCGCCCTCAAGAACTCACTCATATATTTCAACATCAAAATTAACTACTAAATCATATATATATATATATATATATACATATATATATATATATATATATATATATATATATAACAAGTATGTCCTTATTGAGATACATCAAATGATTTTTAAATTTTTGAAATCGGTATAGTCGTTTTTAAAACATCGTTAAGAAAATATCAAATTTCAACTAACACACACACAATTTACACAATATATACAAACAATTCCAGAATCAATTACAATTATCAATTACCTGAAATCATCTCTCAGCCTCCTCTCCCTGGCTCCGATAACGGCAACCAGACAAAACTCCTTAGCCTTCTCCTTAACGCCTCCCGACAGAGCACTCAGATTCAAATTCTTACCATCTCCTGCACTCGCACCAAATTTACTTCCACTCGGCCTGTTGGTCTTCAGCTCGCTCGTGAAAAACGTCGGTCTCGTCGGATATGTAGTAGTGGTCGTCGTCAGTTCAGACGGTGGCTGATGAGTTTTGGACGTGGCGGGAAATTTATCTCCGGGCAGACTGAGTCCCCTGGACGTGTTCGGGATGTTGGTCTTGCCGTTAAGGAGGCCCCGTCCGCCGCGGAGGACGCTGGCGACGTGCAGTTGGCGGACGACCAGCTCGACGACCTCTGCGGCGCTCGTGCGATTAGTGACACGGAGCCGAAGAGAAGCACCAGTTGCCAGGCCGGTGTCGTAGGCAGCGTAGACCTGAACGAGATATTTGATAGAGAATTTTTTGTTTAAGGGGGTATTCTACTGTAGAAGCATGAATTTTGCCCGGTTTTTGAAGCGCTGTATAAAGGAAACAAATAATATTTTTACTATAGATTTTTTTATCATTTGTTTATTGATATTTTATTATTACATAAAAAAATTATTAAAGAAAAAAAAATAGAATTCACAAAGTTATGAGCAGTCAAAGTGGGGGCTCAAAAAAAGAGGGTGTTCTGGCGTGCATGATTCCAACCCTCCTGGTGATCCCAAACATAAAAAATAGATGGATTCTTAATTATTATAGATGCCGCTATCGTATGAACCTTGGATAAGTTAAAAAAAAAATTTTTGTTTGAATGGCGGCAGTTTGAAAAAAAAAATGTTTTTTCATGTTTTTTTTAACAATTCCGAATTTTTTAAAAATACTAAATGAAAAGTTATAGTTTTGAGAAAGGTCCATGCGATAAAGCGATGTATAGAGAAGATCCTCTTCAAATTTGAAGTAAATCGGTTCATTAGAACTCGAGATATCCTTACCGCCAGCTCGAAAAAAGCAGTTCCGAGAAAAACGCGTTTAAAGTTTTGAGACTCGGTCGGACCCGAACCGAAGCCACGTCACTAAAACGGATATTACTCAGAAAATAGTAGTAATTTCGAAAAATCCTTTCAATGACATATTTTTGAATAACTAAACTTTGAAAATATGAAGAAAAAATTTTTTTGATTTTTTCAAAATTCTACAGTAGAATACCCCCTTAAAGGGCACAACTAGTGTAACCGCCTAAAAGAAAGGTGATTTTTGGAAATTTATATTAAAAATACTACTTTATCAATCATTTCAAAATTTTAGGAATATATTTACAAATGTTTTAAGAATACATAGTAAAATTTTGAAGAAAAAAATTAAATAGTTTTTAAGTTATCGTCGATCTCCAACGGCGCGAAAAAAAGCTCCTTTATTACTGCAGTGATTCCGGCCTTCTACGTGGATGAAATTTAAAAGAAACTAGTTGGTTTGGTATTTAGCCTTGAGGCAAGTTACATGAACTTCCCGATATGTTTAAATAATCGACCTAATGAATAATAAACAAATTAATTTATGAGTGATTAGAAGTATTCCGAGAGAATTACTCCGTTAACTCGGAGTATTTTCAAAAAGCAACTTTTCAAAAATCAACAATTAATATATTTTGAACCAGTTTCCGTAGGATTTTGATAGTTTAGTATGTTTATTAAGACCAAGTACTATATCGTTATACCAAGTAAATCGTTTAATTTTAATTTTAGCTAACGTCAAAAAAACTACTCATTTTCTCTAACTTTGATAAATTTAAGAAGTAAACTACTTGTCGTAAAGCCGTAATATTAGGTTGTCAAATATCTCCCTTCCGCTTTTTTGCTCTTGGTTTATAATACAAAAAGGCGGAAGGGAGATATTTGACAACCTTATATTTTAGTAAGTTCTATAAGACCATGATACATATCGCTAAAAAAAATCCATAAAAATCAGCTTTTTTTTTTCAACAGTTAATTACAAGAAAACGGCTTGGTACATTTTCACCTGAAACTAATCAGTGTCATTCCCAACTAATATCTTTCGAACAGTTTTTGATTTATTAAAATTGGTTCGGTAGGATGACATTAAATGTGGACGAAAGGCTTAACACTTTTTTCCAAATTAATTATTGAAATTAATAAATTAATTTCAAATTACAAAGAAAGGGCTTGGCAGATCGTCGCACAAAACTGACAAACGATAGTCCTCATCGAAATACATCAAATGGCTTTTAAATTTCTGAAATCGGTTCAGGCGTTTTTGAGAAAACGTCAATGAAAGGTCTAATTTTGACAAATGCCAAAAAGACGATACCAATTTTTGCAAACTTTGACGAATTTTCAAAGTTAAACCAATTATCGTAGGGCCGTAATATTTTAGTATGATCTAGAAGACTATGGTATCTACCGTCAAAAAATAATAATGAAAATCGTCGACAAAAATTTTTTTAACACTTTATTACAAGAAAACGGCCCGGCCGATCTCTACCAACAACTAATCAGCACGATTCCCAATCAATATCTTTCGAACGGTTTTTGTATTTTCAAGATCGATTCATAACTGCGGGCTAAAACGTGGACAAAATTTTTTTCACTTTTCTGCTATTTACAAAGAAACGGCTTTGCTGATAGTCGCGCAAATTTGATAAACGCTAGTCCTCATCGAGATACATCGAATGGCTTTTAAATGTTTGAAATCGGTCCAGCCATTTTTGAGAAAACGTCGATTTACGGCAAAAAATCTGTTCACACACACACATACTTTTTCCAAATTTGGTCTCATTAGATTCAGAATGGCTTGAAACGTCGAGAAACATAAAATTTTTTACTAAATGTTTGTAAATTTCATCTAGTTTTTAGTAACGTAAGCAAATTATAATGTCCGGAATGAAAATTAAAAGATATTTGAAGAAAAGTAAAAAAATGTACCTAATCCATGTATTGCAAATTATAAGAATACTAAATATAAGTCCGTATTTCAACTACAACTTATTCAAAATTTTGTTATCCAAGTGTATACAACAATTATAACAAATTCTAGTAAACTTTATCTAGTTTTTAATCATGCAAATAAATTAAAGTGTCTAGAACAAAAAATTTAATACGTTTAACAAAATGTACAAAAATGCTCTAAATTCACATAATGACAAAAACTCTTTCAATATCAAAAATGTCTGCTTTATAATCATATTTTTATATTATTACCTGTATGATTCCTTGTTGAGGGTGCACGGGCTCCCGGATAAGATTTGCTTATCAATATCACTCGAACTATCACAATCCTCGTCTGCTGAAGCAGCACTCCTTCCTCTTTCTGGTGAGCTCACTTTCGAGCAAGGTTCTGATACACTTTTTGTGGTGCTCGAGGAGTTGAAATCCGTTAAGAAGTTCTGTTTTTTTGGTGAATTTTGAAGACTTGATGCTATTGATAGATGATTCACTTTATCAGACCTAAAGGGATAATAGAAACATTTAGAATTCAGCATATTTAGACAAATTTCTTCGACTCACCTATGAATTTTAAAATTTTCCTTCCCCGAAGACGAAAGAGTTTGCATCTCGGCTTCTAAAGTTGGCCGTAAATACTGTATGGTTTGTTGTAATACTGTTTGTTGATCGACAGACCTGAAAAAATCCAGCACTTATAATTTTTTTGTCGAAAACAATTTATTAATCAATATTTTCTATCTCACTTGGTATTAGTTCTCCTCAATCCCTCCCCGGTCCAAATTCCATCGAACAGTGGTCAAATCGTTGACCCGAGTCAATTCTCACAGGATCTGTTCAAGGACCTCACATAGCTCTTCAACTGATCCACATCCTGGTTCAAAAACAGGACCGGATTCACTCTTGGACGATCCAAAGTCCAAATACTTCTACCACCAGCACTGGCAGCATTACGAGTCACTCCTGCTGATTTATCATCGTTGGAAATTTTGGTATTTTTGGAATCGCCTGGACTGAGATTTGGAAGCTCCAAGGCTGGTCGTTTAGTTTCAGGTTGTCTTTGGAAAAGTGGCTTCTGGAAATGGTTTCTGGGGTTGCGTTTGGTGTCTGAGGACTATCCGTGATGCTGCAAAGGCTTTTGGAACCTCCTGTGTTTAAGGTGGAAAAACTGGAAATGAATTGAATATGAATAACAACATTTACATTTTAGTACAGCAAGAAGTTTTTCTTACCATGATGTCTGTATCCACGCCTGCGATTTCAAGTTGACTAAAATAAAGAAAAAATCTGAGATCAATTATTAAATGATTAAATTCACTGTATCAAACTGTATTTTTAAAAATAGATATACAT